TCCTGTTCTTGTCCCCCGCTCTCCTTATCCTCGTTCGACGTCGGCCCTCGTCGTCGTCGTCATCGTTGTCATCGTCGTCGGCATCATCATCGTCATCGGCGTCATCATCATCGTCAAAATCATCATCATCATCATCATCATCATCAGCATCATCAGTATAATCATCATCATCAACATCCTTACCATCATCAACATCAGCATCATCATCGTTGTCGTGGTCGTCATCGTTGTCGTCGTCGGCTTTATCATCGTCGTCGGCATCATCATCATCGTCAAAATCATCATCATCATCATCATCATCATCATCATCATCATCATCATAATCATCATCAGTATCATCATCATCAACATCCTCATCATTATTTTCATCATCATCGTCATCGTCACTATCATCATCACCATCGTCATCATCATTATCATCATCGTCATCATCATCATCATTACCATCATCATCATCGTTGTCGTTGTCGTCGTCGTCATCGCTGGCCGTGACATGTGGTAAAAGTTTGAGGGCAGGGGGCGAGGCAGAACAACGGAGCATCGTGAGGGCGAGCAGCCGCAATTCGAACATGCGTCATGGCTAGCTGCAGTGTTCTTGTTGGCCCTCGTGAGCCCATGAACTCGTAGCCGCCAGGCACGTAGATGCAAACATTACGCGGGCGTGTTTCACGAGCCGTGTAACGAAATGCCTCCCGCCGAGGTCCGCCATGCGATGTGATGTGCAATGGGTGGTGGTTTCACGATTTGCCGTGCACTTTGAACAATCACGCCCGCGTGAGACGGAGTCAGAAATTCAAACAGTAGTCATCATCATCATCATCATCATCATCATCATCATCGTCATCGTCATCGTCATCATCATCATCATCATCACCAACATCGTTATCATCCTCGTCATCCACCTTCTCAACCTCATCAGCATCGTCGTCGTCACCATCACCACCGTCATCGGCAGCCTCATCATCAACATCATCATCATCATCATCATCACCATAATCCCCTCTCTATCAACATCACCATCACTACAACCACCACCACCTACCATTATCAGCAGCATCATTATGATCACCAGCATCAATACCACCACCACCACCACAATCATCATTATCATCATCATCATCAGCATCAGCATCAGCATCAGCATCATCATCATCATCTTCATCTTCAGGGCCACTTGGGCTCAGGCCTGTCGATGGCGCGGGGGTCAGTTCCCCGCGAAGCTCTCGGCCGGATGCGCCCCCGGCCCGCCATCTGTACGCAGGCGCCCTCGTGCATGCTGACGCGGCGCCGCTGGGGCGGCGTCTTCGGCTGCGTGCTCGGCTACGTCTACTACGTTTTCAACATGGTACAGCGCCGGTTTGAATACATGCTCCGCGTGCGGACCATGTATTTAAGATACAGGGGTGATTAATACATACAAGGATGAGTTCATGCATGAACTTATTCATCAATTAATCATGTATAAGAGTTCCTAAATGTGAAAAATCCAATGTAGTAAAACCTGCTCTGCATGACCGCTGCGTCGCCCAGCGTTTGCCACCTGGGCCAGCCCTCGCCGCGCGCGGCCGCCCCGCACCCGGGCACGCAAGGCCCCGGCGACTCCGCGGGCGGTGGCGGCATCACGGGGGCCAGCGGGGGTCGGAGCCACGCGCCTGGACGCTCGCGCCCTGCCCTTCTCGCCCAGTGTGCTCGTGTGCCAAATCCGCTCACAGCTCCATGCTATCATCACATACCGCAGCTGTCTCGGCTCGGGCATTGGCAATAGCACTGACAGAGCACTGCTCCCTGCGCAGTGCCCTGGAAAAGGAGTCCTGCTCCTCGCCTCTGCCTGCGGACCCCGTATAGGAACGGCCCCTTCGGCCGTCTCCCTGCAGTGCCGTTTTCAATACATGCTCCGCGTGCGGATCATGTGTTAAACATGCAGGGATTTAGCCTTAAAAACAGCGATGAGTTCATGCATCGGAGGTGAGGGGGTGAGATCGAAGTGGAACGGAGAGCCCCCCTTCCGGGAAATCGATTTCGGTTTCGTGTTCGTGCGTGCCGTGCGGGCGGGCGAGGCGAAGCTGCTTGGGCGGGCGAGAAAAGTCTCCTGTGGCTGAGGCGCGGCCGGACCAAATGTCTCCCTTCCAGGCGGCCGGTGGCCCGCGGTGTCCCGCCAGTGTCCCGCGAAAGTCCCGTGTGGCTGAGGCGCGGCCGGACCAAATGATTCCCTTCCGGGCGGCCGGTGGCCCGCGGTGTCCCGCCGGTGTCCCGCGGTGTCCCGCGGTGTCCCGCGGTGTCCCGCGGTGTCCCGCCGGTGTCCCGCGGTGTCCCGCGAGGATGATGATGATGAAATGATGATGATGGTGATGATGATGATGATGATGATGATGATGAGATGATGATGATGTTGTCCCGATGAAGATGATGATGCTGATGATGATGACAATCATGGTGTCTCGATGATGATGATGTTGATGATGACTCCGATTATGTTGGTGATGATGATGTTGATAGAAATGGTGTCCACGCGGTAATGATGTTGATGATGATGTTGTTGACGATGATTATGGTGTCCCGATGATGATGGTGATGATGGTGATGGTGATGATGATGGTGATGCTGATGGTGTCCCGATGATGATAATAATGATGATGACGATGTTGATGATGATGATGTTGCTCATGGTGATGATGGTGCCCAATGATGATGATGATGTTGTTGATGATGATGATGCCGATGATGATGATGATGATACGATGATCATGATGATGATAGATCCCCGAGGATGATGACGATGTTGATGATAATGTTGATGATGAGAACGATGGTAATCATGATGGTGTCCCGATTATGATGATGATTCTGATGATGTTGCTGATGATGACGACGACTGTTTCCCGATGGTGATGATGATGGGATGATGTTGATGCTGAGATGAAGATGGTGATGATGATGATGATGTTGTCCCGATGATGATGCTGACGTTGATGATGATGTTTATGATGATGCTGATGCTGACGGTGCTCTCATGATGATGACGATGTTGGTGATGATGTTGATGTTGATGATGCTGATGATGATGATGATGACGTTGGTTGTGAGAGCGATTGTGATATCGATAGTGAGATCGATATTGAGACCGAATGTGAGATCGATTGTGTGATCGATTGGGATATCGATTGTGTGATCAATTGTGAGATCGATCGAATGAAATAGATCGAGTGATATCGATTGTGAGATCGATCGAGTGAGATCGATCGAACGAGACCGATAGTGATATCGATACTGAGATCGATAGTGAGACCGATCGAGTTAGTCTTGTATTCCAAATCTCATAGTTTTCAAATCCGATGTATTAAAAGCTGCCCTGTATGCCGCAGCTGCATCGGCTCAGGTATTGGCAATAGAGCACTGACACTGCTCCCTGCGCAGTGCCCTGGAAAAGGAGTCCTACCCCTCGCCTCTACTTGCGGACCCCGTCCAGGAACGGCCCCCTCGGCCGTCTCCCCACACACGCAGTCCTCGAGGGGCGGCGCCGCCCGTGCGGTGCTCCTGGACCCCCTGGGGCACGGCCAGCGCTCCAGGCTGCTGGCCGCCCGGCGCTCGTGGGAGAGGCATGCCCCGGGGGCCTCGGGGGCCCCAGGCCGGCGCCTGGCTGCCGGAACCGATGCCGACGACCTCGACCACGACGGCGACGCTGCCGACCATGCCGACGACTTTGACCATGCCGACGACTTCGACCATGCCGACCGTGCCGACGACCTGCCGACCATGCCGACGACCTCGACCATGCCGGCGACCTCGACCTCGACCGACGACCACGACCTCGACCTGGGGGTGACTCGTACGGTAGATTCGGCGGCGAGCCTCAGAGGAGAAAAGGGTACCCATACCGCTACCCTTTCCTCGTTTTCCTTTCTCTCGGGCCTCCGCGGAGGCCCTCGTCACCACCGCTGGATTCGCATCGAAATCCTGGTCAGAACGCACCCCAGGAGAGGTCTGGGGAGTAGCGGTATCGGTTCGTCTTGGTTTCCCCAGAGCCTCACCTCGTCGACGGCGACATGCGTACGGGACGCGCGCTGCCGCCCGCCGTCGTCCAGGTGCTGTTGGCCTGCGGTCCTGGCGCAGCGACGGCGTGGTCAACGGTGGTGTTCTGGGGAGGCGGCCGTCCAATGTTTGTCGCCGTCGTCTCGCTGCCTACGGGCAGGTGGTCGATGCTGCTGCGTACGACGTCACCGAGACCGTGGCGCAAAGTGAGGCCGCGGGGTCTTTTCGTCGCGACGCAGCTACTGCTCCGCCAAGGGGCCATCTTTCAACGCGGCCTCTTCCTGGGCCTCGTGGGCGCTTTATTACGCGCTGTGGGGTCTCGACCAGTGCTGGATGCCGCAGCTCATCAAGAAGATCGTCGTAAAGATCATCGTGGCGCTGGGGGTGAACGTCGTGTCGGCGGCGCCTTGGCTGCTGTCAATGACGGGGAATGCGCTGCCCCCTACGGGGAACCTCCTCTCCCGCGACCGTTCCGTGGGCCTCGTGGGCGCATGTTCCAAGCAGCTGTGCTTCGACCAGTTCGGAAGGTTGGACATCATCGGCGTGATCATCGTGAAGCTCGGGTCGGACTTAGTGTGGGCGTCATTGCTCCTGGCGACCGTGGGGGCGTAGAGGCCGACGCCACGCCGCGCGCGGACATCAGCGACGGTGTCATGCCGCTCACGACGCAGCTGCTTGTCGTCGGCTCCCGACTTCTCTCGGCCTCGTGCAGTTTTTTCAGCGGCAGCGGCAGCTTCGTGGAGGCGGCGTGCGCGCTCGAGCGGTTCTCCCTGGCCCTGAGGATGGGGCAAGCCGTACCTTCGACTGCAACGCCGGCCTCGCTGCCTGTGACTCGGCGCCTCCCGGCTTCTTCGCTCTCGGGCGCGGCGCGGGCGAGGGGGCCCCGCACTGCCACCCCCCCGGCCCGGCGGCGGCGTGGGGGCCGGCCACGGGCGGGCTCGCCGGGCCCAGCCGCCCGCCGAGGTGGACAGGGCGGCGCTTGCAGCCGGCGCCCGTGAGCAGGTGCACCGAGGGGCTCAGAGTGAGGCTGTGTCTCTGGACGCCCGAGATGGGCACGGGAAGAATGGGTACGCTGCCCAACAGCAGTTCTTGTTCATTCCGAACAGGATTCGCTGTCCACGCCGCCGCGGCCTGTGTCCATTCGAGACAGAAGGCCGCCTGCCCAACAGCGGCCGCTGTTGGTTTGGGACAACATTTGCTGTTGGGCATTGTACCCATTCTTTCGGTACCCATTTCGGGTGTCCAAAGTGTCTGGGCCATGAGAGTCGGCAGGGGGATGATTGCGATGGCCGAACAGGGGCCCGTGCAACTCGTGAGTCTGAGCGAGCAGGCGCCTCTCGGACAGGCCATGCCGAGCCGTCGTGGCTACAGGTGGCACCTTTTCACGCGCATGTGTCGCCCAATCGTTCTGGCTGACTTTTCCTTGATGCATCTCTGGCTCCAGACGCTCCCCTGAAGCAGTGCAGACGAAACGAACGATGTTTTCTGGTTCGATCCGGCGGCCGGGCTGCTCCTCAGAATCGTGCTCGCCGTGAGCTTTTCGTGCGCAGGGTGGGCGTCGCCCCATGCTTGGTGCAGCTTGCTGTCTGGACGCTCCTCCGGCGTGCACGGGGGGCCCCTCGTGGCCTCGTCTTCGCCGCTGCTGGCAGGGGTCGCATCGGCGTGGGCTGCGGGTTTGGGCGACAGTGGTGCTGCCTTCTGGCTCGCCGAGCTTGCCTGCATTCCCGCTCCTTTGCAGTCCCACGTGGCCGCTGCAGGGAGTCGGCGCGCTGGCAATTGGCCGGCCTCGTGGCCGACCAAGGTCCTGATCATCATCAGCGTCATCATAACCATCGTCCTTACTATCACCATCATCATCATCCTCATCATCATCATCATCATCATCATCATCATCATCATCATCATCATGAAGCAGATGACATTTTCTTGTATAGTATGGCCAAGCTATGAGAGTTTGGACATCGGTGCCAATGATGTGAATGAGTGACTAATTCATCATTTCAACCACCATAACCATCATAATCAGCATCATCATACTTACCACCGTCATCATGGTCAGCATCATCGCCATCATCACAACCGCCATCATTAACATCATCATCATCATCATCATCATCATCATCATCATCACCACCATTAATTATCAGTAACAGATTCTTCATCACCGCCACCAGTACCTCCACCTCCTCCATCCTCCTGCCCCGCCGCCCCCCCCATTCCCCCTCCTCCGATCCTTTCCTCCTCCTCCTCCTCCTTCTCCTCCTGCTCCTCCTCCTCCTCCTTCTCCTCCTCCTCCTCCTCCTCCTCCTCCTCCTTCCCCTTCCCATCCTCCACCCCCTTCTCCTCTCCTCCTTCTCCTCCTCCTCCTCCTCTTTCTGCTCCTCCCCCTCCCCCATCCTCCTCCCCCTCCCCCTCTCCTCCTCCTTTCCCTCCTTCTCCTCCTCCTTTTCTTTCTCCTCCTCCGTGGCCACTTTGGCTCGAGGTTTTGAGCTCTCCCGGGGCGAAGCGGATGCCGCGAGTCCGCGGCCAGTTCCTGTGTTTCGGCCTGTCCTCCCAGGTCTGGGTCGGCCCGGCGCTCCTGTTCCCGAGTGCACGGCCCTGTGCGCACGCCGGGGATGGCAAACCGTGGGGCCATGGCGGGGGATGCGCCGACTGGGCTTTCAATTATACAATCGGGGCCCTGAAGAAGGAACCCTTCTCGTTGGGGAGGGGCCCCGCGTTCCTTATGTGTTTCGCAGCTTGCCTGAGGTTTCCCTTATGTTTTCGATCGGAAATCGAAGTTTAACTTATGGAAAAAAGGGGCCTCGTTCTTTATTTTGGGTTCCTTAGGTCAAGGCCCCGACTGTAAGATCATTCAGATCGGGGGCTGCTGCGAATGTGGACACCAAGCCACGCTTTGGAAGCCGTGGCACAATGACCGTGATCGAGGCGGCCAGACCTCGAAACTCTCTTCCAAGGCCAAGATGTGAGCCCTTCGCCTATCGAGTGATATACCTGGTGACGTGGCCCAAGTGCTCCGAGGCCCCTTGGAGGTCAAGCCTCTTGCGCCGCTTCCGCGCGACGCTTGGGACGCGGCTCAGAATGCGAATGCCTTTTTGGAAGCGGCAGAGCAGGCAACGCAGAAGGTTGCAGCGGCCGCCCAGCGATGCCGCAAGGAGGCAGAGAAAGCGCAAGCCCATCGCGATGAGAAGTTGGCCAGTCAAGTCCATGTGGAGGAGACGTATAAGGCTGCGCCCCAGGTGCCCCCAAGTCCAAGAATCAGACGGTCCTCGACTACAGCGCGTTCGAGCTGCGCGACCCAGAGGACCTGGGCGTCGAGGGCTCAAGGCTTTCAGGCGCTAGAAGAAATATGTTGATGATGTCAGACCGGGGCTCGAGGCTTCGGCCAAGAAGCCCGGTGATCTCGCGGCGAAGATCGCGGCTTCCAGCGCGGGCGAAGCAGCCGAGCGCAGGCGCGGCGAGGAGGGGGGGGGCTCTGGCTGAAGGGGGGCCCCCCAACTCTGAGCCTGCCGCGCCCAGGGCTGCCGCCCCCGCGGCGCCGCCGCCGCCCGAGCAGCAACGGGCCCCGCCGTTATCCAGTGGGAGCTTGGAGCATCTGCGCGAGGCCCCCCTGGCAAAGGCGGGCGGGGCCGCTGCGGCAAAGGCCCGCGCCTCGGCACGCGCGGGCCCGCCTGCGCGTCAGTGGCTTCAGAGGCTGTTGCGTCGGCTGCTGCATCTACAGGCGCGCGCGTAGCGGGGCCGCATCCCGTGGGGGCCGAGTCCCAACAGTGCCCCATGGAGTGCGGCAGCCAACCAGATCAGCCAGCGGCCTTCTTCTGTTCCAGTCTCACGGAGCGGGGTCCTCTGGCTGAGCGATGGGTGGCCGCGCGAGGCAAGCGTTATCATGTACTTGCCGTTGTGGAAACGCACGTCGGCTCCGATGAGGCGGCCGACGCGTTTCTTAATATTTCCAAGGACGATTGGAAGTTCTCCAGATGCGACGCAGCCCCCAATGTGCGCTCTCAGACGGGTACCACTGGCGGGGACATGATGTCGGCAAGAAAAATGCAGCTTGCACTGCGTTCGACGGGCTGCGGGATTACAGTGGATAGTTGCAAGAGATGTGGCGCGCCAAGCCAGTTGTGCTTCACAAGTTGGCCAAGCCGCAGCAGGGTGACAAGCTTGCGATCATAATATCCTCGCGAACTGTGTCCGAGCCAAAAGAGACCGCGGCCGTCAAGACTGCTTATTCGACCAGGGTTTGGGACCCCGCCGAGACCGCGCAGGGCGCGCGCCAGGCCGTTGACCAGGCCCGCGCGCGCACTCTGGAGGAGGGCCGCCCACCGCTGGAGCTGGGCGCCCTTGCCCGAGTGCCGCAGTCCACGCCCCTCCTCCTGAAGCGTTGCAGCAGTGGGCTGATTTGTTCTGTTTGGTGGAACAGGAATCTCTTTGGCCCCAGCAGATGCACGCGGCAGTCGCAGCCGCGGCGCCAGGGGGCGACCGAATGCTGGGTGCGTTCCCCATCACGGCGCGCATATGGCCCAGACTTCGCGCTAGCCCGGGCGATCAGTGGCGCCAGGGGCTTCGCGACTTTGGGCGCGCTGCGATGAAGAGCTGTTCGGCGATCGGCTGCCTTGCACCGAGCCTAGCCACGGCCGCGGGCGTCGCGGCGGTCAGTTTGCTCGTGGACATGGACATGTCTTGCGACCGCGTGCAACTGGGCAAGTTGATCAAGGCTGTGTCTGAGGAGCAATTTCCCGCCATTGTCCTGATCTTGGAGGCCCAGCTGTTTCTTGGCCCAAGATTCTCGCGGGCGCGTGGGCGGAGTGGCGATGTCACTCGTGCTTGACAGGGCATTGTGGCTGGTTCCCCGAAAGGCGCTATGCTCGCTCGAGTGATTTTGCTGCCACTTCTTACGCGCGCTCAGCGCAGGGCTGAAGGCGCTACCCTTTGGACGACCGTGGGCGACACTGTCGCGCGTGCTGGGGGCTCCACTCGACAAGCCGGCGAGCGCATCATCGCAGCTGCAGTGGCGCCCAACAGTAATTTGGATGTTGCTGAGTTGCCCTCCTCTGCGAAGGGTGTCTTGCTTTCCAGCAGTTCCTCAGTGCGCTCCCGAGCGTTGGCGGGTCAGCCGAGGCTGGGCGCCCCGATCTCCGCAGTCATCGGCGCCGCCGACCTGGGTGTCGACGCCTGTGCAGGTGCCGGGCGCATTCAGTGTCAGGCTCGGCAACGTACCACCACGGCTACGGCAAGATCACGGCGCATTGCGAGGGCGCGCAACGCGGCCCAGCAGGCTCGCATCGCGCGTGGGCTCTGGGCGACAGGCCCCTTGCCTCGGGGGGTCCACGGTCATCGGGTGCGCGGCCTCGCTCGCCATGCGCTCTTGGGGTGGAAAAGCCAGGCAGCCGCCGCCACGGCTGGCAAGGCGGCGGGGCGTTGTCTGACCACGCTGCTTGGAGCCAGCTTCGATGGCAACGACCCTTGCGTTCAATTACGACACCAGCTACTTTGGAAAGGGACATCTTTACCACCATGAACGTATTAGACGCACGTGCAGATTGCTCAAGCCAATATTGGCGAAGGCTGGCCTTCGGATCTGGTCATGCGTCACTGGACCTACCGCGGCTGCGATTCCTATTCTGTCGGTGGCTGGATGGAACCCCGGCCAGGCCGACACCTGGCAGCGTGTCCAAGGCGGCTGCTTGGAATAGTGGAGGCTCCCACCAGAAGGCGCCGAGCTCGACGATCTTAACTGCGAGCCTGTCCTCGACGATTTCGCCGACGACCTGCAGGTTCGTCTCTGGAAGGGCGCCGCGCTGCACCCGCGCGGCGACGCCCTTTGACACGGGGGCTGACTTGGTCGCCGCGCGCGCCGGGCAGCGCAGACTCCTTGCGCGAGGGGGAGATTCTTCTTGGGCATTGAATATTTATATCATCTCGGCCGGGCAGTGGCCCAAGGAACGGCTTCAGGAGTGTGGCTGTAACGTTTCTCGGTTGTGTGATCGTTGCAACCCATGGCGCATCGAGGGCTCGGTCAATCGTTTCTGGCGCTGAGAGGCGCATCGGGGCCTCGAGATTGAACCCACCAGTCGTTCAGTTCCTCGTGCGTTGGTTGGCCTTGAGCAGGACCCCGGCTTGTGGCTCCGTGGTCTCCCCTCCCTGGCCTCGACCGCCCCCGCTTCTGAACCCTGGGGGGAAGATGGGGAAAAAACAGAGTACTGGAGCCAATCCGGACGACTTGCCATCTTTCGGAGCGTTGCCGTGACCCCTGGACCGCCCGTTTCCTCCTCTTCGGGCATGACTCCGAAAGGGTCCACGCTGATGATCCCATGAGGCGTAGATGCGGATGGGCTGCAACGGCGATCGCTCCCGCTGGAAATCGATGCTGGATCCCTGTGGCTGATACTTTGGGCCCTCTGGAAAAGGCCGGCGGCAAACGGTGCCGCGTTCCGAGCCCGCCGCCTTTGTCAGCGCACTTGAGTTGAGCACGGGACCCCTCGCGTTTGTCTCTGATCACAAGACCCTTATCCAGGGGTGGGCCCGCCGCCTTGGGGACTGGATTGGGAAAGTTGCTGACTGAGATTTGTGAACGCGCGTCGGGCGATCTCTGGAAGCGCAGCCCCGTAGAGACGTCTGCGTTGAGTGGGCGCCCTCACATTTGGGCGAGACCCCTGATCTCATCAACACCCCGTTCTATGTTTGTGGCAATATTGTAGCGGGCGGGTGGGCGTCCAAAGGGGCTAGCAAGTGGTGGGCTCGCGTGCTCGGCCCGCCGCCGCCCACTGATGAGTGCGGCGCCACCGCCGCCTTGGTCCGCGCGCGTTACCGGGCCATCCTGAGATCCC